AGCAGGCAGTAGGCTCTTTGCAGAGAATTGACAGAATCCTACCACCTCCTTCCTGAACCTTTAACATAGTCCATAGAAATAGAGAATAAAACAGTACTTACCAGGGATAGAGGGGTAGAGGGGAGAGGAAATAAGTAGATGTAAAACAGTGGACAAACTTACAGATATATAGAGAAAATAAGTCTAGAGACTAATGTACCATATGAGGGCTACAGTTAATAACATTGTATTATAATCAAATTTTTACTAATAATTAATTTTTGATGCTCTTGCCACAAAAAATAACAAAAAAAAGGTGAATAACTATCTGAGATGAAGATATGCTAATTTGCTTGACTATAGCAACCATTTCTCTATGCATATCAAAACATCATGGTGTACAACTTAAACATACATAATAAAATTAAATAATTCCATTTTAACAAATTGCAAGCCTGTTAACCTGGCCTACAAAGGAGCTTGCTCCTGTCTACCTGCAACTATTTCTCATTAACTACATCCCATTCACACTGGTCTCCTTTCTACCCACACCCTCAAACTTGCTGAGATCATTCTTATCTCAGAGCCCATGCTCTGACTGGTCCCCATCCCTGGAAATATCTTCCCCTTTCTCAGAGTAGTGACTCCTCACTCTTCCTTCAATTTTTAACTGAAATGTAACTCTATTTCAAATATCTACTTCCATATACCCCCATGCACAATTTTAATTCTCTAGTCTAAAACACTATTTTTTTAAATCCCTCTTATCTCTACTGTGTTTCGTGTATATATTTCATGATACCATCCTGGTCACTATATGGTTTCCACGTAGAAAGATGCTGGTAGATAGTCAGCAAACAAAAACACATTTTTGGAATGAAGGAGAATGCCAAATTCAACACTTAGCACATTAAAGGTGCTCAAGTAATACTAGCTTCTATATTATCTCGCTCCTAGCCTTCTTCAGCATGGTTGCTATCAAAACTAAAGCTCTGATTTCTTTCAGTCTCCTCACACCAGCACAGGTCCTTCCCAGGTGTGAACTAGTCTGTGAGGTGATGCCATTCATTTTAGAAGGGGACAAACAGGAAATGATTAAGAAGCCAGAACGGAAAGCCCTGGTATTAATATTCATCTAAGTGAGATATCAATTTCAAGGCTTTGTTTTTTCTAAATGATTCTGGACTTACAGATCTAATCAAAAGAAATTCTTTCTGGAATAAAATGCAAGTAGTTTGCAAAGGATCGCCTGTTTGGGATTAGCTGTCTTGCACTCTATTGCCATGAATTTTTCAAAGTTGGCTGCAAATGCAAACTTGCAGATAAGTATAAAGCAAAATTAACAGTTCACTTTTTCCCCTGGCTACACACCCTGCACTACACAGATAGCAAAACACTGGCACAGCGTTTCTACTAGCTGATCCACATGGGTGGTTTTTGCTCCTGATGCCTGACAGTATGCTTGGGACCCAGTGAGTACAACTTAAATGTGCAAATAAAATCAGTTGTTTCCAAATTCAAAGTAAACCTCAAAGAACAATGGATTCCAAATGGATAGGAGAGATTTGCCAATGAAAGAGATAAAAGACATAAGGGTATGACAAACCCAATGACATTAGTTCTAGTGGTCTCCATTTCCACCTGAGTCACAATTCTTTCTCTGGTTGACAGAAGAGCACAGACTGCTCTTTTAAAAATACAAAATACAATTCTCTTAAAATTAAATTTATGCTTTTCTCATCTAATAGATTGTGGACAAAGAGTAGAAAGTATCTAAGAAAGAATAATTTAAAAATGTTAAAGCCTTGCCTTAGAGAAGAAAAGATTAACCATATTTTGGAAATCAAAGGAAAATACTACAAATCTATTAGTACCTAGAAAGCACCATGATTCAGTGTTGTCTCCTTCATTGAAGGAGGACATGTATTATTTTCCTAATGCACCAAACAGCAAATTCCACTGTGGGAATCCTTGCCATTGGCACCTATAGCAACGTCATCTAATTTTTATAAAGCTTCAAAACATCGGGACCTTAGACAGTTGGTAATACACCGCTTCATATATACACTCAGCCAGTCACATACATATATATACTAGTCCATACTCTGATAGTAAATGGCAGGTAGTAGTATATTACCTTCCAGAGTTTTACCATTGATTGGTGTTTCATAGCCATGGTAGAGAGCTAAGAAAAAACTAGCACACCAGCATTGCAAACAATGGCAACAGCTTATTTGTGCCCAAATAATGAATTGCATATTGGGGTAAGCAACCACCTAAAAAGTTCATAAAAATGCCCCTATGATTTAAACATGGAGTATTGGATTTATATTTCAGAGTTCTATTTGTAACAGATATTTTCACATCCTTGTTTTTGGCACCCACCTTTGTATATCAAAGTGTGCTACTGTAAAAACCTATGACTTCCTTCTAAGAAAAAAAAAATATTTTCTGGCTACAGGAAAGAGTATACTTGGTCTGTGGTGAGAGAAAGCCCAAGGGCTAGAGAGTCCATATAGCTTGAAGCATCTCTCATTCTATGGCAAGAAGAGGTATAACTTATAAGTGCATCGTTAGCTTCCTCAGGACTTGGTTGGGACCATTTGGGGTCATGATCTCCTGGCGTTTCCAGCAGAGATGAGCTCTAGCTTACACAGTGCTCACTTGCTTGATGACACATCCTTTATTGGCTTTATTTCCCAGTCTCATTTCCCACTTTCCTACTGAAGTTTAATGGGATTAGCCACATAAACCACTTGATTCTAAGCTTTGCATCTAAACTAGACATTATCTTTAGTCCTTTTTCTTTTCTTTCAGGATGAAATTTAATTTTCATTAAACATTATAGGACCCATATCCCTTGTTATTAATTGCACAGAAACATGTCCCTTACCAAATAACAAGTCCAGAAAAGTCCTACAATTCATGGAATTACACATGGGATGGTACAAACACTTGTAAAAATTAGATGATTCTGAAAACCAATAGAAAATCTAACTATAGAAATCTATTTGAGTAGATCTAGCAGTAAATGGAAGAGTAGCTGCCTATCATCTTTATTTTTCTTTTACAACTCTCCACATATTTTTTCTCTCTCTCCATATATATGTACATGTACGTGTGTGTGTGTGTGTGTATCGGAATTTCATTCTTCTGTGCAAACATGTATTTGCTGGGTATATTCACAAATATAACCGATATACTGAAATTAATATTTACTCAGCATTTCTATATTCTTAGCATGACTTTAAAACCTATACTATAGTCCCCATAGCATGTCACTCTATTGCAAAGATAAGTCTTCACTATACAGAAAGATGCAAGATGAATACAAAAAAAAGTATAACTGTTCAAACATGGAATTTTATGGAAATTGAAAGAATTATACCAATATACTAAATGCCAAATTTTATACTGTGACAGTAGTTCAAATGGAAGAAAGATGCAGCCAAGTAAAAAATTTACCTAGAATCTTCTGTATTGCAGACTTCAATATTAGAGATAAATCCATAAGCCAATGACCTGAAGGCCTTAATTTCTTCTGGATGCTCTTGAATGGTTTGGAACAAATACTGTTAACATTCTTCCTGGGTATCCATACCCATTCATTTGATGAGCCAGTCAACCAATATTTGTTGGGCATCATCCCAAATACACATCAGTAAGCCAGACAAAATCCCAGCCCTCATCAAGTTTGTGTTTAAAGGGGAAAAAAACAGATCAACAATTAAGCAATTATATTTATAATATATTGTCAGGTAATGGGATTCTGACCAAAAAAAAATAATAATAATGCATGCCTAGTGGGACCAGATAATAATGGACAAAATAATTCTCTAGATGAGTGGTTATGGATGGTTTCTCTGAGGAGTCATTATTTGAAAAAAGGGAATCAGTTCTTAAAGAAGAGATAATAAGATGTTCCAAACAGAATAGTAGCCAGTACAAATACCCTGAGCTAGGGATAAGTGTTTTACATTAAAGGAAATATTGTTAAGAAGACCATGATAGGTAAGCAAAGGGGAAGCCATAGGTGATGAGAGAATGAGCAGGCAGGAGTCAAATACTCCAACTCTCCTAGGCTGGTCGTTTGGATTTAATTCTGATTTAGTTCTGTGTGCATGGAATGCCACTGGAAAGTTAAAAAGATAATTCTGGCTATTGTGTAAAGATTGGACTATGGACTGGTTCTACAAACTGAAAGTTATCACCATTGAACGAATGGTATTTCCATCTTGGTCCTGAGCAAAATTAGGGAAAAGAAGTAAAAGTTCTAAGAACATAGTCCTGGGACATTCATACATTCAGAACTTAAAAAGGAGAAGAGTGGTCAGAAAAGAAATTTTTAAAAGAATCAACCAATGAAGCAGGGAGAAAGCAGGAAATATTCTTTAAATATGCCTGCAACAGGTTCCAGATGAATTCAAATGGGAATTCAGAGTCTCACTGTCAGTGGAAATATAAAGACAATGATCTTCCCAGGGATCCAGATATAAAAGTTGTTATGCAAAGTGGCTCTGGTTGTATCAGAAAGAAGAAGGACTTCTGAGCACAGTGCAGTTTAAGGGACACTTGCAGAAAAGGGAGACAAACTTCGTGGTATCTCTTGTACCACCCTGTCCAGAGTGAGAGCCTTCAAGTTCTGACAGAAGAGATAGGTGGGCTCAAAATCCAAAAGGGCTGGTTCAATGCATGCTGTGGAATATTGAGTATGAGAGCTGCTTAAACCAGATGACCCAGCCAGTGAGAGGAGTGTTCTTCCACCTATGCACAGACCTGGATGCTGTGCCTGCAACATAGACACAGGTAAACCATACAGGGCACAGCAGTAATGTTGTGATATCTCTTAATGACAGCATTCCTGTGATGCATGTGACTTTGATGGTATATTAGCACAGACTCCAACTCTAGAACTCAGTTCCTATGCAGTATATTTTGTTGCCACTAAACCACACAGCCCAACCAGCTCCTTCACACACATGCTAGTACTACCACTGGCATCCTGTGCAGACACAACCAACCTGTGTTATAGAAAGATCCAGTCCATTCTGCCTCAGTTTTAGGAAATACAGAGATTGGTGGAGGCAGACCCAGGGCTCTACCATCCATATCCTTGAAGAGATATTTTCTTGGACTTTCACAATCTGATTCAGGGCAGGTCACTCTTTCCAAATCTCTCCTATGAAGAAAGACAAAAAGCAGCTCTCATTTCATGATAGGCAGCAAGAAGAAAACATTGGGTAGTGCTAAGCTCATATATAATAAGTTCAACAGAATTGTATCATTAATAATATGTTAAGTAGATATGAAATAAAACTCCATAGAAAATAAGTTATTTCCCAGTTACATGGTCAAGAAGAAAGAGAATTTTATTAACAAAATATTCTGGACATCTGGTTATGTAATATTTATATGAATTATTGAATTTCTAAGAGGCAAGGTATGATACATGCTTCCACTTCTGGTATCTACTGAACACTATAATAATTTATTCATAGACATTCAGAGTTTTGTAATATTTTAAGATTATCTCTATAAATATAACTATATTTAAACTATATACAAACAGTAAAAATAGATAATCTCATTCAAAGATCTATTGGAAAGTACTACTGACAGGTTGGGTAATGTAATGGTGATATAACTATATATTATCCCTGCACTTCTAGAATTTAGTTGAGTAGTATATAAAATAAGTAATAGGTATGTACCTTATAACAGTGAATTATAGATCATTTATTTTACTTTGGCTGATCTACTATTTTTAGGTGCCAGTAGTAAAAATATTAAATATTGATTGTATGTCAACAACATGTTGGTATTATAGTACAAAGAATGAAGTATCATGTAATGCTGTGGTTTGAATGATGCTGCTTCTCCAAAATTCATGTTGAAACTTAATCCCAATGCAACTGTATTGAGAAGTATGGCCTTTGGGATATGACTGAGTCATTAGGATAGGGTCTTCATGAATGGGATTATCACCCTAATAAAAGGGCTCAACATTGAAGACAGACTCTTTGTCCTTCTGTCCACTCTACCAGGGGAGGATATCATATTCCTCTGCTCAGAAGGATGAAGCAGACAGCAGCCCTCACATGATACCAGTCATGCTTGTGCCTTGATCTTGTAAGAAATAAATTTCTGGGCTTTACAAATCATCCAGTTTATGATATTTTGTTAAAGGCACACAAACTGACTACAACATGTACCTTTACAATTATTTCAACCCATAGGTATGAGAAGTGAACAGAAGAAAAATTGGACAATAGAAGGAAACATGGCTATTCACAATGGATTGCATATCTAAGTGCTTAGGTACCTAAAATGGTTCAAGAATGAACATCAAAAAAAGGAGGGGGGGGGGCAGGGACTGGTGTTAGGCCAAACACATAAACTTTCCAGTTAGAGTGGGTTTTTTTAGATTCTTTTTGTAAATTAACGGAGTTTCTCCAGTGTTGTGGGAAAGTACAAGTGATCCATACTCCCTGTCTAATTTTCATATTCTTGAAAAACTTTCAGATCCTGTGTCAAAGAACAGTAGTACCACAGGGTTGAAATGTGAGTATTTGTCTCGTGGTTCAGCTCAAGAATTCTGGGGAGAAGACATAATCTCCTTCTATATTCTTGTGTCTGCACAAAGTCTCTCAAGATCTTTGCCACCTCATAACCAGGATCTCTTTCTGAATACTACTAACACTGTACTACTTCATGAAAGAGTGATGAATTCGAGCAATTTGTTTCCAGTTATTTTGAAAATATTCCAAAAAAGTCTCTCTAATTAAGACAAAACTATAAAACAGCATCAATAAATAGTTCTCCTCATCACTTCTACCTCTTTTGTCAGCCAAAGAAAGGCAGATGGTTTAGTCCAAACTCAGGGGGAAGAAAATAACTTCTGCCTAGTTGGAAGAGATATTTCAAAAATCATACAGGAAAGGACAAGAATATAGGAGGGGTAAAGAACTGAGGTCATTAAATCAATGTCCTATTTCATTCTACAGCAACTTATTTCTAGATCTTTGATGATTTCATTTTTTTCTAAAAAACAGCTGGGGATGGTTGAAGAATTGCCAAATACTTCAAAAACATGACTTATTCTCAATAATCAAAGTGGTACCTGTGGTGTAATGGAGGAAAGTAGAACTTGTTCTCATCTTTCATCCTGAGCATCCTAGTCCTTTCTGCAATTATTGGGTGCATGATTCCAGGGCTCTCTACATTTGGCAGAATACAAATGTCCAGGTCACCACTAGAGCAACTCTTTACAAAACCAGAAAAGGTGACACCTGGAAAAATTTTAAAAATATACTATAATATTATATCATATAAGTCATCAATCACAAATACGGATTACACAATGAAATATTCCCATAAATAATGGATATCCCAGAGTCAGTTTAAAGCTATTCAGGATAGGCTCAGGAGTTTCCATAAGTTTTGATATAAAATATCCATAAAATTTTTAACACATGGACATTGTATGCAGAAGCAAAGAGTATTCTAACACATTAAAGTCTTTAGAATAATACTTTTATCAAAGACTTGATCAAAATCCATTTATTTTACAGAAAAACCAACTGCCAGGTAAACTAAGTGAGTGGGGAGTGAGTACATTAATCCAAAAATGATCTGATATAAGAGGAACTGCACAAATTGTGGTAAAACTATGATTTTAACCTTAGCTACTCATCCCTCTACTAGCAACATCACATGAGGCATAATCCCTGCATCTCAGTTTACTCTATTCTATAACAGGATAAATAGCATCTAGCTAAAAGAATTGTCAAATAATCAAGTTAAGTAATTGCTATGAAACCTCTCCAACATGTATAAACCAATTAACTGCAATAACTCACTTTCATTATAAACCACATTGTGGCTATAAAAACAGAAGACTATAATTGGACACAAGCACTAGACTACACTAGACCTTTTGGTTGATATAATTTCAGAATGCTATTTAAAAGTCTATGCACACATGTATGAAACCGTTTGGATTACTTGGATAAGTCCAAACACCCTACCTTCAAGTTTCATGATTCCTGAAACTGAATAGCCATTCCTCACTTTGTGCCATGGCTCCAGAGGCCACTGGTTTGGTTCTGAGGTGAACCCAGGCCACAGGATACCAATGCGGCCTCCTCTAGGATTGGGAGGCGCTCGATCTGTTGATGTCACATTGGCCGAGTAAGGCTTCATTCTGTCCTGAATACAGTCAAAAGAGGAGCTGGTGGCTATAATGACTGAATTCCTAAGCACAATCTGCACATTTCTGATGGATCTCTGTGGAACAGAAGACACATACACTGCTGCCAAAAGACCAATAGCATTGTCTACCAGAGTGATATTCTCCATCTCCACACTATTCTCCACCTGTATCATCGCACCATAGTCAAAGTTCTTGAAAGCCAGGAAGCCAGTGATACAGGTACAGTTGTCAGGTCCACTTTCCTTAAACACATGAAGACCATGAAGGTTTGAGTGGGCCACGTTGCCAGACCAAAGCACTTGAGAGGAGCACCTGTGTCCTCGTAGGTGAAAGCCAAGTCTCTCTGATCCTGCCACAACATTGCCATGGAGGTAGATATCCTTTGCGCGGTTCACTTTGATTCCTGCCACCCAAATGGCAGACCACACTGACTGTGTCATCAAAACTGCAAGATTATTAGTGAGAGAGTAGGCCTGACCCTCCAAATCAATGCCATGGCCAGCTGTGCCAAACACTATATTGTCGTTTAAAATTATGCCATGACTTGCAGATGCATGAATGCCCCCGCCACAGCTCTGGTGTACCGTAGAAGATATGATCCAGGATCCTGCTGACACATTAGTGAATTCAATGGATGAATGTGATGGTGAGCCAAAATTCTGAATTTCCACATTTAGAAGTTGAAGGACACCTATCAACAAAACACATGTCATCAGGCTTCTTCCTCATAAAATGCAAAAGGAAGATCCACTACAGGGCATCAGAACATGCAGATTTTTTAAATTAAAATGTAGCAGTTTATACACAACAATAGATCTATATTTCACACCATTGAGTCTCACTATCAAAATATGAATCACTAGTAATATCAAATTAATTCATAAAAAGATTCCACGTGCAATCTGAAGTGTCTAGAATAGGATGGGGAGAGAGGAAAGAAAATGTAAGGAAAAGAAAGAGGCTTTGGATTTAGGTATAGCTGGTTTAAAGATTCTGTGCATTTGTGGAGGGCTGAGTCAAGGTCCTAGGGAACAATGAAAGGAACATGTGTTCCTGGCTTCTCACCTGAGTCAAATCTCCCTCTCTGTCACAGTGAGTTCGAGTAAAAAGACCACAACCATCTCCACAAAGATATCGTGTATATGATATAATGACCAACCCCTTAAAACACTCCAAACATTTCTTAAGAGAAGTACAAGTGCAAAATTTACTTGTGTCCAACTAATGTCCAGAAATCTAAAATTAAATGTGCTACTTGATGGAAATATAACAGAAACCATAACACACTTTCAAAATAATTCAAAAGACCTTGTGAAATCTTTTCTGTATTCTTGTCCTAACTATACTTTATTTCCTGCTTCGTTTCTATAATAACAAGATTTTCTGCAGCTTTTATATCAGAAGAGAATAGTAAATTATTTAGTCTCTTTGAGGATTTTATTTGTACTGTTTTAAGGAGATATTGTTACCATGGGTAAAAAATATTCACCCAGTACATTGATTTTAAAATATAATGAACATTAATAAGTCAGTGTATATATTCCTGATGACAGGTGAATTCTTATAAATTAATAATGAACTGAATTAGTAACTATAATACATAACTCTAATATAAAGCTTATTATATGCCAGGTCCTATTCTAATTCATGTATATGTCAAATCTTAATTTTTACAAATATCCTATGAGGTCAGTATAGTCATTATCCCCATTTTGCTGATAAGGAAACAGAGGAAAAAAGGTTTAACTGACAAGCTAGGACTGGGACTTGGGCATATGCTGCTATACATAATGCTGTGCTATTAACCTAGGCAGCACACTAACCAGAGTGGAAGTTGTGGCGGTAAAGGGACTAACTTTGGATTGGATTCAGGTAATTGGGCTATAAATGCCAAAAACACATCATGCATTTTTTTGCTAGGTGGGGCACACCTTGGGCCCTCACTCCTTTCTTTGGCTTTTGGAATTTTGAGGTACTGAGTACTGACAAAGGTAAAGTAGAAAGTTATTTCTTCCATTAAAAATGAGGACACTATGCATTTAAAGTTTCAATTTCACTGTTTAAGTAATCGTATTTAAAGCTCAAATGTAGTCCAGCCTAAACCCTTCACTTCTCCCCTGCCTTTTTCACAGATGAAAAGTTAGAACCCTTGAAAATCACCTTCTGTGAAGAAGCAAGCCCTGTGGGAAGGACACAAAGTGATAGACATATGGGTCTCCTTGTGACCAGACAACAGGATTCCAGCATTTCTCAGCTAATACTGCTTGAAGAGGAACTGATAGATGTTATAGAAACATTCACAATGATAAAACATCCAAAACATACTCATCAGGTGATATACCTTGCCTTGGCACAAAAGGCACCGAATGCAAGAGCAAGTCCACACACAAATAGCTCGTTTTCTATTACAGATGGTAGTTCTAGTGCCTCAGTCAAGGCATCATTTAATTATTTTTAATGGCTTATACTTGTATGATTGTAATTCACAGTTTTAAATTGTTCAAGACCTATTACTTGCATGCAAAGTAACCAATGACTAAAAATTAATCAGTAGCAAATACTTCAAATGTCTTGAGCAATTATATGAAGAATTAAGCAATAATTTCATTCTTAAGTACTTTCCTACTTTTCCTTTTGAATCACAGTTCTGAAAAACTTTCTAGCTAGATGTTATTGGTCAAAAAGAGAAGAGTGATATAGCCTTCCAATTTAAAGTAGGAATTGTCCTGGCCTGCTTTGCAGTCCTATAACCATTCAACCCCTATGGGTGGCCTCCCTGACCTACCCCTGCAAATTCTACCTCATCCAGGCTCTGGTGTGTTTAGGGATGGGCTGGGGTGGGGGTGCTGATATTTTAATTTTTAATATTATAATTTATACATAGCAGTTAGCCTCATTTTGACAAAATCATGCATGCAAGTAATTTGATTTTAATCCCCATTCCCCATCCTTGCTTTCCTTCCCTCCTCACTTCCCTATTATCCTCCTTCTACTTGACTGATATTCTTTTTGCTTCTTTATTTATTTATTGTTAATTGGTACTTTCTACATATGCATAAAGGTAATATTTCCTTTGGTACACTTATATATGTATATAACATGATTTTCTTAGTGTTTTAGTCTTTTTTTTTTTTTTTTTTTTTTTGTGCTGCTGTGACTAAAGGACCCAACCAGCGCAATTATTTGAGGGATCACGGTTTCAGAGGTCTTAGTCCTTAGAAGGCCAGCTCCATTTCTTGGGCTAATGGTGAGGCTGAACATCATAGCAGGAGAGTGTGGCTGAAGGAAGCAGCTCACATCACGGTGGTCAGGAAGCAGAGAGTTCTCCCCATGCCAGATACAAATTTATACCCAAAGCCACTCCCCAATTTCCACATCCTCCAGCCACACCCTACCACTTCAGTTACACGTAGTTAATCCCTATCCTGGTTAAACCACTTATTGTGTTAAGACTCTTACAACTCAAATCATTTCTCCTCTGAACCTTCTTGCACTGCCTCACATGTAAGCTTTTGGGGACACTTCACAGATTCATTCCACAATTCCTCCACTTTCCCATCCTTCCTCCCTTTCTTTTCTTTTCTACCTTCTATTCCACTAATCTTTTCTATGTATTTATATCTTATTCCCACCACCATCTGACTCCTTTCCCTTATTTTGCTTTAGCTTCCACATATGAGAGAAAACATTTGACCCTTGATTTTCCAAGTCTGGCTTATTTCACTTAGCATGATGTTCTCCATTTCCATCCATTTACTGACAAATGCCATTATTTCATTCTTCATTGTGAGATTAAAACTCCATTATGTTAAATATACCATACATAATTTTTTTATATTTTTTATTTTGAGACAAAATCTCACCAAATTGCTTAGGGCCTTGCTAAGTTGCTGAGGCTGGCTTTGAACTTGGTATTCTCCTCTTCCCTTCAAGCAGCTGAGATTAGAGGTGTGTGCACAGCACCTGGCTATGCATCAAGTTTTCTTGATCCACTCATCTACTGACAGGCATCTGGGCTGATTCCATAATTTGGTTATTGTGAATTTTGATGCTACAAACATTTAAGAGACTATATCACTATGGTATACTGATTTTAGTTCTTTTGGATAAATGCCAATGATTGAGACAGATGGATCATATGGCAGTTTCATTCCTAGTTTTTTAAGGAATCTCTATATTACTTTCTAGACCTATTGTACTAATTTGCAGTCCCACCAATAAAGTACAAGTGTACCTTTATTCCCACATTCTCATCAGCATTTATTATTATTATTTGTATTTGTGTTCTTGATAATTGTCATTCTGATTAAAGTGAGATGAATTCTTAGTACAGTTTTGATTTTTATTTTCCTGATCATCAAGGTTTCTTAATGTAGAAAGATAACCTGTGTTGTAATCTGGAACAGAAATGGATATGTGTGAAAAAACAGGTGAAATAAGAAGAATGTCTTGAGTTTGATTAATATTAATATGCCAAAGTTGATTTCTTAGTTTTCACAAATGTACCAGTGTTATGTCAGATATTAACAGTAAAGGAAACTGGGTGAAAAAATTATTGGGGTTCCTCATACTATCTTTATAACTTTGTTAAAACCCCAAAATTATTACAGAATTAAGTTCTTATTTAATAAGGACTTAAGAGTAAGGTTTGAATCTGCCACTTACTAATTAAATGACTTTTATTACTCTTCATTAATTTTATCTGTTCATATTTAATAAGTACCTAATACACGGCAGTCGCCATACTAGGAGAGCAGAAATGAAAGGTCCATCCTTACCCTCTAGGAATTCACAAGCTTATTAAGGAGTTATACAAATAAATAGGAAATTTAATTACATACTGTTTCCTACTATAGGAAGATAACATGTCTCTCTCACAAAACTATTAGGATTAAATAAGAACAAAGTTTCCACTGGGTGAAAACCAGCATGCTTCCTATAAGAATTTAATATAGTTTCTCTTTATCTCCTTGGCGATACTTTAGAAAGCCCTAAATGAGTAAAGTAAGAGGTTTAGATAAGTCTTGATGCTAGTTCTGCTCATGCCTCATGCTCAGCTAAAACCTTATGTTCGGTCTTCTCTCCTGTTCCAGGTCCATGCTCCAGCCTGGCCTACAGTCTCAATTAACGGAGGTCCTATCTTGTCCCTTTCCTATTCTCCATATTCATAACATCAAATGTCTCATTTCCACATGACCAGAACCCAGCCTTTGTCTCAGTCTTCTAGAACAGGATTTCTCATCCTCCACATTATTGACATTTGACCCAGATGGGTGACTGTCTTGTGCATTGTAGGAAATTACAGGATATACCTACTTGACGCTGGAAATGCCCAACTTGTGACAAATAAAATTGACTGGGCTGGGGTCGTGGTAGAGCACTTGCCTCACATGTGTGAGGCACTGGATTCAATTCTCAGCACCACATATAAATAAATAAATAAAGGCCCATCAACAACTAAAAAAAAAGGTTTTAAATAAATAAATAAATAAATAAATAAATAAAATTGACTACAAATACTGCCAATTGCCTCCTAGGGGGTCAAAAAAAAATCACCTCTGTCAAGACTTTATGGAACTAGAACTTGTGGAGATAAAACTTGTTCTATGGACCAGAAATCCTGAACCTGTAATTTAGAGTTCAAATATTGCCTTTTGCCAAATTGGTGAGACAGATGCATCAACAGAAGGTCCCATGATGAACATATTTGGAAAGTGGCTAGATCCTTTATTACAGACTTTCTCTGAGATTTCATTATATTTGTGTACGTAGCAACTTTCCAAAATGGAACCACAAAGATAGCCTTTCCCAAACTTTGGGAGCAACTTTGGAATGTTTAAGAAGCACAAGTTTAAGTTTAAGAAACGAGGTCCTAATCAAACAATTTTGCAGCATTCCAAAAGGGCTAAAGCTTGAATAAAAAAGAAAGATTGAATTGATCCTTAAAGCAGTGGAAAATATGGAAATCATTTTTATTTAAATTTAAGCCATTAATTTATAGCATGAGCTGATGTCTGCCATCAGATATAGCATGCTACTGGGAACAAGTAATAGAAATTCAGGAAAGAGATAAAATTCAAATAGTCATTAAATCATCTATAATTTCAAAGCAGAGGAAATTTCACATCTGCTGAAGATTTTTTTTTTTTTTTGAGGTAAAAATGTGCATATGTGCTGATCTCTGGTATATTATTTTAACATCACATTGATAATTAAGCACAGATTAGGACTGAAAATTCATAGCTTTTTAGAGGACAAAGGAACATCTAATTTGAACATTCTGTATTGTAAGTGAAAATTCTCACAGTTAGAATTTCTGAGTGTCCCAGATAAATAGGTCCCAAGTGGTAATGGTTAGTAACTTAAATTTCATTTACCTGAAAATTCTTCCCTGCTAGACTTCCTGAAGGACCCCACAAGTAGTCTCCCCTTACACAATGTGTCAGACTGAATTCGTATATTTCGGGTCAACAGTCCAACCTCAGCAGCCAAATGGATGTGTTGGCCATCTTCCATGACGTGGACACTTCCTGGGGCAAAAGGAGTTGGGAAGAAAAAATAAAAAACATTTAAAAACCTATTTTGGAAATGGCTAGCTGGGGACCCAGTGCATCTCACAAATGAAAACACTTCTTTCCCCTCGGAAGTCCTACCAACATTAAGGTCTACTTTTCCTCGGGCATTCTTCACAAATGTCAGCTGAGAAATGAAAAATCTGTTCACTTGTCTCTCTTTGGGATCAGAGTAAGTGTTTGAGTGAGAATTCATCTCTTCTCAATAACTGTGGGGACCAGAACAGGCCACTGGTACAGAGAAATCAAGGCAGACCTGTCCAATTAGCAGGTTTCCAGCTCCCTTCCTTAAATCGCCATTGTGAGATGCTGTATATCATCCACCAACTTCTTCCAGGAGAGTAAGGAATCCCAGATCAGCCCAGGCAGTGACAGAGCACAAGCTGCAAGGTATTAGAGTAAAGCAAAAAGAGAAGCAGCACGCTCTCACGGCAAGTCTCAGGCTTTCCACTTCTTGAACAAGCTCCTACAGCATGGGATGGAAGGATAGAAGGACCTACTGGCCAGTCTCATGGCCTCCATTGCCATTTTACTTTGGCTTTTATGAGCAAAGATTGCTGATGATTTCTCTTTACTTTGCTACGTTTTTTTTTTTTTTTTAAAGAAATCAATCCAGGCATGGTAGCACAGCCTGCTCAGGAGGCTGAGGCTCAAGGATCACTTGAGCCTAGAAGTGTGAGACCAACCTGGGCACCATAGTGAGACCCTCATCTCAACAAAAATAGACAGAGAGAAAGAAAGAGAGGGGGGCGGAATTAATCCTTGAAATTATGACTTAGAAGTAGTTTCAGATAGTGTTGGTGGAAACATATAATTCCCTCTTACATATATAATACAAAAAAATTATCTAATCCTTTTATTTTCATATTTTGTCACTAAATAGCTATATCTCCTGAGGTGGATTTATTTAATAGAACAGGAAGATTATACTTATTTATTATTTATATAGAGTACATTTGTACTATGTATAGAATATAAAAATATTAAGTATTTTTACAAAAAGATATTGTAAGTTTTTCTCCATTTTTTAGTCTTAGTAGCAGCAGCAATCAATATATAATATGTATTTGGTGTCAGGAAGGATACATTTCTAAGTATGGAAAATGAAGTAATTGTTGACAATAACTAGCATATTCTATGGGATTACGAATTCAATGTGCCAGGAAATTAACTGGAAAGTTAGTGTCTATGGCTTTTATTCTGGCTTAGCCACAAAACTGCTCAGTGACCTTGAACAAGATTCTCAAAGCTTCTACTCTTAGACTTGTCATTATGAATTAAAAAAAACAAACAAAAAAAAAAACTCCCTTATATCTAAGTATTCTTTAACAACTAAAATGAATGAAGAAATAAAGATAAAGTCTTCTGGGGTAAGTCCAGGGCAGCAATAAAGGCATATCCTTTCCTTTGAATGGCAACCAGATGAAAGATCCATAGGCAGGTGTCTGAGCACCTGACGCATTCACTTCCTTCAACCAACAAACCAGAGCTTTACCAGTGTGCTGGTATTTGAGGCGTTCGTGGATCCTGACATGATGACCCTTGACTTCTTTCACAGTGAGGACCTCTGCTTCATGAGGCTCATAAGAAGTGGAGCTAAGGACCAATTTGTCATAGGGTTGCCAGTCCACAGCATCTTCTACTATAATTCTGTAACAGCATAAAGATGGTGTCAAATATATGAGTAGTGCAACAGAGACCAGCTAATTCTACAGAGAGCAAAGAAAATCCCAGCAAATGACAAATCCTTCAAGGAAACTGAGAAGGAAACAAGAAGACAAGGAAAAAGGCATTTGCGTACATTTTAATCCTAATGGAGTCCAGTTTCTGACTTGTTTATGTACACATTACAGGGATGCAAAGATATTCTATAGCCATGAAGTTCAAGGCAAAGGAATATAAAACAGTATGCATTCCAGAGCACAGTGTGTGCATCTTCATGTGGTCTTCTATAATAGCAATCTTCCTTATTGATCGGGAAACAGAATGATAAATAAACAAATCTTTCCTCAACTTTTCTGAAAAATTGTTTTGCATTTTTGGACAATTTATCATGCATTAACCCTTAAAGCTTCATGGTCAGACAGATACAAGTGTGAGTCTTAAAGGTGCCAGTTTCTACTGCATGACACTGACCAGTCTGTCACACTGCCAAGCTTTTCCTGGTGAATATGGCTGCTTTATTCTCCATTCACAGTCTTTACCAATTCCAACCGTGTAAATTTGTTTTAATGTCCTTCCTCTTTAACTAATGCCTAAATCTTAGCAAGCTTTGCCCCCAGATGCTTTCCTATCAATGAATGCTCATCTAGGCACAGGGTACACATGCAAGCCATTCAATCATGCAAAATATGCTGAGAGAACCACTGCTCTATAGACACTATAGAGGTCCCACAGACACAACAGTTAAAAAAAAAAAAAAAAAAAAACTATATGTCATGTGTATTTAAAATAATAGCTTAGAGATTTTTCTACCGTAGGGGTGGAGGATTAGCTGACCATTTATGTGCCAATAACATGAGTCTCTTATGAACCAAAGATTGTAATTAATTCAAACCTGTGCACCTTAAGTTAGGAAAAAAAAGAAATATAAAATGGGAATACAGCAAATTCATGCAATTTTAATGAAAGAAATCGGGGTATTACTTCTGTTCCTGATTTTCTATGATTTCTAAGGAAACGCAGTAACAGAATACTAAAATGAATGCTAACTTTAAAAAGCAAGGAGACCATGATTCAAAGATATAGCAAAATTCAAATTAGGTAACTGAATGGAGTCAGAGAATGAGTTGGTACAAAGGAGAACCTGATCACGCCCAAAATTCTTTACACTAAATAACATTACTTCACCTAATTCTTAGTTCTTCACTTGTTAAATTGTAAGGGAAAAAAACCCACACTACTCCCACATTTCATAATATATCATAGTAATCATGAAATAATAAAAAAACTGGTAAATACACTGGAGACTATATATTCATTTTAAAAATACATTACTATAGGAGTGTACAAAATTGCAAAGAATTTTGCTCATGAGGCATTGATTAAAAAGCAGGATATAAAACAACATGCCTCATTTAAAAACAAACAAAAAACATAATACATGCATACCAAATAGAAGATAGGAAAAATACATGTTAAAATATTAGCCCACCTATGAGCAATGAATTTATTCATGATTTTTACTTAAATCTAAATTTTTTAACTTAGCAGGAAGTACATTACAGTAAGAAAAAATACTTAAAATCACACCAAAGTCAATTAATAACAAAAAATCAGTCCTTTCTCCCATAATCTGTATTAGGTAATCTTTTTTATTATTTGTGTTGCTGAATAAAGCTCTTCAGGAAATAGATCACCATAATAGTGTAAAAATATCCTTATAAATGAGATTAAATTTCTCCCACATGGAACACAGGGAGTTTTGAGAGCAGTGTATGAGGTGATACACATCATTATACATATATCAAAATTCATAGAACATAAAATTCCAAGTGAACTCCTATGTAAGCTTGAAAAAAAATACTCAGTCACTAACTCTTTTATATAAGTCCTGTACTCCAGTAAGAGGAGCTTACTTTCCCTTTTAGTTCACTCATCCTAAAATTCTACTTTGTTTCAAGAAGTCTTCCCTGGGAGTCTGAATGCTCAGCCTTTTCTGTACCATCAAAAAGTTCACATAATACTAGTGCCTTGTTCTCATTTCTTCTGTGTCTATCTAACTTTAGTATTTTAGTTACTGTTTATGAAAAGATGACCATCTAGATGTGCACATCCCATAGCATCTAATAATGCACTAGGGAAAGAGTACATGGAATTATTAAAACTATTAGTCCAAACATTACATTAAAAACACGAATGAGCTTAATCTGACCTTTTCCATGAAGGTTTCAAAACCTTATAAGATCATGGAAAATAAATTTCTCCTCTATACTACCTGGAGATTTGGAATTCTATATGTCACAAGAACAACACAAAGGTGTTAAAAGCACATCGTCCCTTCCATTTCTAATGTGTCTATATAGTAACAGTGGTACGTCAGGGAAAACTGTGGTCCCAGTATCAGTTTTCCTTCAATTTCAACAGCCACTGTTACTAGTCCCAGTCTTCTACCATTTTGGTTATCCTTCAGTCATTTCAAGAAATCCTAACTTGATAACTATAAACTTTTTAAAAATGCAGCTATATTTTATGCTTCTGATTAATTCTAGTGAGAGTCCTGCAGCTATAGGGAAGAGGAGAAACTTGCCTGTTCTGAGAAAAACATACTTGAAACAATAAACAAACAAAGATCAAAAGACCTGTTTGAAAAATAATTGGATATAAATGGGAACCATATGGAAAGAGAAAGGAAACTATGAATAATCACTTAGGAAGTCTCCTGAAAGATAACTTTTTAGAAATATCAACAAAATATCAGCAGTTTCCTTTATTTTGGCATTAATATTTAACCTAGTTCTGGGAAAATATAATGCCTATTAATCAAAAATATAGTACTTATTTAGTTACAGAGAACAAAAAGTATATGCAAATTTGATTTAAAGGTTCTTGCAACCATGTATAAAACATTCATAAATAAACACCTACAAGTTAAATTTTAAACTACACTTTGGGAGATCTTAATGATAATAGCTGCATTTGACCCCAGGCTCAGAGTATAGCGATCCAAAAATATTTTCCCCCAAGAAATAGCAATGCCACCGACTTCTGAGCTCTATTAACACTGAATCTTTTTATTTTCTAACTCCAGCTTAATTTTTTTTGTCAGTAACATTGAAATATAATGAGGAATCTAAAACTGCATTAGACTATGCTGAGTATTAAAGAAATAGAGTCCTATAATGATGTTAAAAAGAACTCAACAACTATAATAGCTATAGTAGACATCAATTATTTGTCTACCTGACCTCCTTCTTCCCTCATTCCAAGAAATCCATCACACCTCTTCTGAGAACTGTTCCTTTCAGCCACCCTATTACTTAAGTGGCTCTAGTGAGAGCTATAGATTAAAGTCACATAAAGCTCTCACCAGGGCTAGCTAGGAATGTTTGCTAAAATCTCTCCCCTGAACTCTTGAATGAAACTGAGGGAAGAGTAATGTCTTCTCTGGTAGTATAGCTGAAAAAAACCCCAACAGCTCTGAGTTTGCTTGCAGCCTACAAAAGTGGGAATACTACTATTCAGTAGGAAAACTGTGGCTGAAATAGAAAAATGCAAAAATGGAGAAGGAGGGAGTGAAGGTAGTAGAATCCCCCAAGTGGATTAAGAAGAGTTAGTTTTACTTTAACCTCCACCTAAAATAACCCTGATTTCTACACTAGCTACCCTGTCTTGTGCCAGAAACTGGGCTAAAAATTTCACATACACTAATTCACTTAGTCCTTACAATTATTATATAAGCTAGGTATTATTGCTCTCATAATTAAAGAAAAAGAAACTGGTTAGAGGGATAAATGCCTAAAGTTAGACATTTAATTCACTGAACAATTACAATTATTTTACTTTGCTTGACCGCAAAGATCAAACTGTTTGTTATTGTCAAATACTATTGCTAATTTACTTTCCAAACTCATACGCATTTCTCCAGCATGGAGAGAGTAGGTCATTTAAGTAAAGACAGAGAAGTTTATTGAACTAGAGGGAATCATCTTCTTTTAAAGGTTACACATGTGGCCCAGATTTGCTAATAAGTGAATAAAGCTACTAAATCTATATCATTTGTTGTTGTTATTGTTGTTGTTGTTTTCTTTTTGAGAGGAAGAATTCCATAGAGTTAGCCAGACTGGCTTCAAACTTGGGATCCTACTGCCTCAGCCTCTTGAGTAGCTGGGATATACAGGCATACACCACTGCACCAGGTCTGACTCTATATTCTAATACTTGAACTGGCTTGTTATAATAAAGTTTGAGTAATAAGCAAAATAAGTTGTGATCACTTTTTAAATTCAATTCCAGAAAAGATGTTCTTATTTATTAGATAATATGCTATTGAGTCAAGAACCTCAATAAGTTTTGATTTCCATAAAAGATTTTTTACATAATTTCAATGTAACAGGCATATATTGGACACTTTCATTATGTTCTGCTTTGTACCAGATATAAGTGGTATACCAAATCAATAAAAATATATTTTCTTCTCCTGTAGAGGTCACTTGGAGGAACAGGACATAGGTACCTTAAGCAGCTTACTGACACAGGTTAGGAAGCATATTGTTATTAAAATTAGAAATCATAAAGTCAAGACCACATGTTATAATGGTTTGGATGATAAAAAAATATGTGCCAGAGGGAAGACTGATAACTCTGTGAAGAATGTGATGGAATCTTTAAGCATAAGCAAAACTTGTACAGATAAAGAAGAGATGGGAGGGCACTGCATCTGATACCTTTATTTTATTTACTAAGTATTTAGAGAGTCCCAATAGTAAAATTGTTATAGAAAGCCACACATGTAGTGCTTAAGTGATAAATGAAGCAACGAGAAGAGGGAAAAAATATTCTAAACACAATGCATCCAAAGAATATGTCACTAATTTGATACAGGAGCTTGTGGAAGAGATACTATTAATATGATGCTCAAGATCAGGGGAAAGGATGAGGTATCGAACAACTTAATTTGCTTTTCAGCTCAGAGTTATTTCCTTGTAAAT